GGAGCACAGGAAAACTGATACACGTCAATGTTGTGATCCATTGACAGCTGTCAAAACAAGGTATCCGCTGACCAGTATCACTTGACTATATCGCGGGCTCAGGTGTCGACCCATCGAGGTCAAGTGTTTTTTTGAAGTTATCCGCTGACAAGGTACTGGTTTTCAAATGATCGCAGGCTCAAGTTTAATTTTTTTTTAAATTCATATGAAATATGTTGTGTTTATGTGCCGCACAATTAAAATTTTGATTTCAAACTGACCTCGGACGCGAAAATTCAGCCAGCTGCTACAGGCAGGGAAGACAGTTTCTTTTGGCTTTTCTCGCCATGTTCACGCGTTGGTCACGCTCTACGTCCAATTTTTATGCTCTGATTGGTCAAAATTTGACAGATGAGTTCATGCGGAAAATTTATGCAGCATCTTGAATCTTGTTTACTTTGACAGCTGAAGCTGACAGAGTTTTGTGTCAACTTGTGATGTTTTTAACTTTCTTTTTCCACTGGATGTACAAAATGAAATTCAGCTGCTATCAGGAGTCTTCTGTTATTCATGGCCAGTTTGTTTATTGGGTTTTTGATTGAGTCAAAGTCGGAAATCCGATTTCGGATGGCATCGTTTTCGTTTTCATCTTGCTTAATGCGTAAGAGGGTTGCAAAGTCTGAAGCGATACTGGCGTTACTTGATACCTTTCAGGAGCTGCATCTCGAGTGGTAAGCCTAAGTAATTATTGTATTTGATGTTTGTTTTTTATTCCTAATTTAATGAAGTCGAGCGTAGTTGATGCGGCTATTTTGTTTACGCACTTTTGTAATATTTGAGACAATGATCTGACCGAGTATCAGGTTTGTTATAAGCTTACAGATCTTTAAAAAGCCTTTAGACATTTTCTCACCGCAAATAGAAAGAAAACGTTTCAAAGAATATTTAGTTATAATTCTGGCTGTAAAAGAAAGGTTTGAGCGGTTTTCTTGCCTCGAGTTCGTCTTTGAAAAAAGCAAACACCGGGAAGCCGGCTTAAAACATAAACTTCAGCTTTAAGCTCGAAGACTCAGGATTTTTAGAGACACTTTAATACTTGTCTTCCTGAATGAAAATTGTCGTCTCTGTATAAGTTGTACAGAATTATATTTGTTTTATTGACTGTTAGTACTCTCTCTTGTAATTTCAATCGTTGTGCCGATTGTTTTCAGTCGTTCAGTAAACAACGCTTCCCGGAGTACTCAAAATGCCGCGCGTTAAACCGTTTTAAAATAAAAAATAAACATAATAGATTCTTTATTATGTTGGAGCGTAACTCTGTTAATGTTCGTTCAAATACTCGCCACTGCTAGCACTGTAAAAGTCAGAACCGGCTGGCCGTATAGATGATTTTGAAAATTTTTTCAACGGTTTACGGCTAAAGCCCACGCGTGCTTCGATCGTCCTGAAGAGCAATTTGTATCGCAATATTGTGAAATACTGCATTCTGTTTTCCGGGGTCTGTATGATAAAAACAGTGCCTCATAGTACTGTTTCACCTCAGATGTGATGTATAAATGATATAAAAGGTTGGTTTACACGCACCCAGATTTGTTGGCAAGATTTTGTAAAATAAACTTGTCGAACGCAAAAAATTCGGCCGGAATGTTTTTTCCAGGCCTAATTAATCTACTGTGATCAAGAGCCAACTCGATGTGAGATTTGGTTCACTCTTGGGCTGTTTGCAAATTATTTTTTGTAAAATCACTTAGCCTTTCCCTGAAAAGTCACACGAATGTGCTCTAAAGTTAACTGAATTGTGGAATACAAGTTTATTGTTTGATTTAAATTATAAATTTATTAATGGGAGCCTCGCTTTTAGCCCTGGCTAAATCTATATATTAATTCTGCAGTTCTTCACAATTTTGCAAGAGAATTTGCACTCATTCAATATCCACGACGATCAAAGCACGCACTTCCTTTGCACAACAAATTATAGCATTGAATTATAAAACGTTTTCATGAAGAGAATTCTATAATACCGGGACTTTTCAGTTAGAAAAATCTGGTCCTATGAGATATGCAGGGTAATAATTATGGGCTTTTAATAAAAACGATAAAAAAAAAAATCCAGAAATCACTTTTCGGCCAGCCGGACGGGTTCTCACTTTTCACAGGCACCAAATTTGCAGTGCGATTAATAGAGTTACCATTTACGCTTCAACATGATAGAAAAATTGTTATGTTTAGGTTTTATTTCCCTTTATTTATCAAACTGTGTATGGTTTTGTTATGTGTAATCTTTAAAAGCGAGTGATATTTACGCGCGGCGTTTTGAGAACTCCTGCATGCGATGTTTATGTTCGACAGGAAACAACGGGTGCAGAGATAAAAATTGCGAGAGGGACTACTAACAATCAATAAAATAAATATAATTCGGTGAAACATGTACAGAGACAATAATTTTCATTCGCGAAGAGAAGTGTTGAGAGTAAAGTGTCTCTGAAAATCATGAGTCAGGTAAGTATAAGCATATTTATGTTTTAAGCGGGCTTCCCGGTGTTTGCTCTTTTTCAAGATGAACTCGAGGCAAGAAAATCGCTCAGAGCTTTCTGTTTACAGTTAAAATCATACCTAAATAAACTTCGGAACCTTTTCTTTGAATTTGCGGTCAAAAAATGTCTAAAGGCTTTTTAAACCTGATACTATTGTAGGTTAGATCATTGCTCGTGTATAAACTAAGCCGCATAAACCATACGCTCGACTTCAGGAAACCGAAAAAAAAACACATCATAGACAACAATTTCTCAGGCTTACCAGTCGAGATGCTGCTTCTGAAGGTCATCAAGTGTTCCAGAATCGCTTGAGGCTTTTCAACCCTTGTATGCCTCAAGCAAGGGCAAGTGAGTAAGCTCATTTTTGAAAACGATGCCATCCGAAATCGGATTTCCAATGACTTTGACAAGCGGTGCATTTGTCCACAACAAGCGCAATAAACAAACCAGCCATGAATTACAGAACAATCTTGATAGCAGCTGTATTTCATTTTGTACACCAAGTAGAAAAAGACAGTTTAAAACATCACAAGATGACACAAAACTCTGTCAGCTCCAGCTATCAGTAAGCAAGTTACCAGACGCTGCATAAATTTTCCGCATGAACCTGTCAAATTTTGATCAATCAGAACATAAAAATTGGACGTAGAGCGTGATCAACGCGTGACAGTGAGAAAAGTCAAAAGCGATTACCTTCCCTGCATGGAAATGTAGAAGCCGATTGAATTTTCGCGTCCGAGGTCAGTTCGAAATCAAAATTTTAAAAGTGCGGCTCATGAACACGACTTATTTCATATGCATTTTAAAAAAATTGAACTTGAGCCTGCGATCATTTGAAAAGTAGCAATTTGTCAGCGAATACCTTCAAAAAAACACTCGAACTCAGTGGGTCGATACCTGAGCCCGCGATACGGTCAGGCGATACTGGTCAGCGGAAACACTATTTTGACAGCTGTCAATTAATCAAAACACGGATGTACAATATCAGGTTGCAGGCTCCCGAACTAGCTAGAAAGTGTGAGATTAAACATTGGTATGCCTGTGGTGTGGACGGACGGAAGGTCGGGTGGTCGGTGTACGGTCACGTGATTGCCGAATTTCTAGGATGGATAGGTGGATAGATTTTCTAAGCTATGGGGCTTCGAATTAAACCCGTGATCAAATGAAATATCAGCGCACAACTTGAAACTCTATGTGACCTCAATGGATAGAAAAATGAGCCCGCGATACACTCAGGTAATGATGGTCAGCGTATACTTTAGTTTGACAGCTGTCAATTAACCTTCATTAGAATGGCGAATATTCGAATTAACAGACTACGAGTGTGAGTAAGACATATCCGTCCGGCAGGTATTGGAAAATGCCAGATCGTGTACCTGAGCGAACCTGAGCCCACGTTATTGGTTTTCTGATAGTGGTCTGCACATGTCCCATTTTGACAGCTATCAATTGACCTTAATTTGGCTTGCCAATATAACTTTAAACGACTGTCAGCCAACTGACAACCTTGCCCGGCGTAGTTTCGTTTTTATGTTGAATTGGTAAGTGTGACATATTATATCAGCTTATATGTAGGGGCAAAACGACTGGTCTTTCATCTGAGCCCGCGAGATGGTCATGTGATAATTGTCAGCGGATGTCTGATTTTGACAGCTGTCAATCTAATCGTACTCATATGGATAGCTTACATAACTAAGAGGCTAGTCAAGTTGTGCAAGATCTATTGTGACATTTGATATCGGCTTACATGAAGTGTGTGACACAAAAGTCTGTCAGCTTCACCTGTCTTCAGCTGTCAAAGTAAACAACTTTCAAGATGCTGCATAATTTTTCCGCATGAACTCACCTGTCAAATTTTGACCAATCAGAGTATGAAAATTGGACATAGAGCGTGACCAACGCGTGAGCATGGTAAGATAAGGTCTTCCCCGCCTGTACTTTTAAAAAAAACTGGCTGAATTTTTGCTTCCGAGGTCAGTTTGAAATCAAAATCCCAATAGTTCGGGGCCATAGTGACATAAACACAACATATTTGATATGAATCCTTGGAAAAAATAAACTTGAGCCTGCGATCATTTGAAACTGGTAATTTGTCAGCGGATAACTTCAAAAAATACTCGACCTCGATAGGTGGACACTTGAGCCCGCGATACGGTCAGGTAATACTGGTCAGCGGATGCCCTATTTTGAAAGCTGTCAATTGATCACAACATTGATGTGCAATTAGTTTTCTCTTGGGCTCCCAAACTTGCTAAGAGTGTGAGTAAACATTGGTTTTCCTGTGGTACGGACGGACGGCGGTCGGTGTACGGTCACGTGATTACCAAATTTTCTGGGATGGGTAGATTTACTTAGCTATGGGACTCCGCCCACGCGCGCGCGTGGAGCTCCGCTATAAGGGCTGCTACCATTTGACGCTTTTATTGATGCTTATTTCTGGTTTCCTAGGGTTCCTGGGTGTGTAAACGGACGGCATGGCAAAGGTCCAACGTGATTCAAACCTGGCAAATTCTTCCAATCCAGCTTGACATCTGTAAGCCAGTTTCGACCAAATAAAGCACCAGTCCCTTCCTGTACAATTAACAAAAGCAGTGCGTGTTGTGATCCCATGTACTCAACCTTCACATGTGCTTCTCCTAAGGGACGCACAATCTCACCTGTATATGTCGACAGCACAACATTTGTAGATTTCATTTCAACGTCTGGGCAAACTTGTTTCACGAAAGTAATCGGGGCAAGGGATAACGCACACCCAGTGTCTAACTGCATCAGACAATCCTGGTCTTCGATCTTCAGAGGTACAGAAATTTCAGATCTGGACATTGCATGAACATCATACACCACATACAACTCATCTTCTTCAGATAATTGTTCCTAAGGTGGCTCTTCTTAAAAACACATAATATTTACTCCACCTTTCTTACACACTCGACCAATATGTCCTCTTAACTTGCAATGGCGACACACAGCATTCCTAAATTTGCATTTAGATCTTACATGATCAGAATTACCGCATGAAAAACGAGCATAAGAAGCTGCTGGCTGGAAACTGGACGAAATCTGGCCAGGAGACGGCGGCGAAGTAGATTGGGTAGCTGAATTTCCACGAGAAGAGGACGGTAAGGCTGAGAATTCTTTCGCAACTGAATTAACTGGTTGAGGCAATTGTTGCTGTTGGACTTGCAAAGTTTCTTTAGCCGCGATTTCGTCGGCGATAGCCACTTGGAGAGCCTCTTGAAATGTTCGATCTTGACTCAATAGTTTTTTTTCGAGTCGCAGGGTTTCGAATCCCACACACAAACTGATCGCGGAGCAAGTGGTTCAGGAATTCGCCAAAATTACAAGTGGCGGCCAGATGTCTTAAACGAGCACTGTAAACCGACACGCTCTCATTTTCTTCTTGACAACATCGATGAAATCTGTAGGATTCGGCAACTTCCAATCATTTGGGCTTAAAGTGTTGTTGCAGTAGTTCACAGGGCTGCACAAATCGCGAAGAGTGCTGTATGTCTTCTTACCAATGACGGAGATCATCACGGCGACCTTTTTCTGATTAGCTGCCCTAACAGCAGCCGCAGTGGCATCATCAGCACATTTTCCAATATCGTTGGCTACAAAGAACTGGTCAAATCTTTCAAGATTAGCCGTAAAAGACTCAGAGCAAGGATCAAATTCACCAACAGAACCGAGCAACGGTGAAGCCATGGCGGGATTTGCAAACGCACCAGCGAGCACGTGCGCGGAAGCACAAACGAACGAAACGAAGTGACGTAAGGTCATACGGTGTAGGAAATCGCACGAAATAGCCGTAAACACAAAGTGATCCCATCCTCGTCGCCACATATTGTAACTTAGAAATCCAAGGACGAAATTATGAAACAACGCGAGCATTGAACATGAATATTCTAGTTTTATTTTATTCCTAGTTCTCACTCCTGCGCAAGCGCATCCATGTACACGTAACACGACTATAACGTAACTTCGTCCAATGTAACACAATAATAACAAAACAAAGTCACAATATAACAGACACTGTAAGTACTGACCCCATCGAAATCAGTAGTATACTCAACACACATTTCTCCAAAAAATGTCCTTCCTTAGCCTCTGAAATTAAAAGTACATCCAGCAATTTAACTGATTATATTACCCCCGCAGAACAATTTTTAAGTTGGCGGAAGTATCATGCCAGGAGGTCTTTAATTTGATTCAGAAAATACCGAGTAATAAAGCCAGTGGTCTCGATAACATCTCAGCACGTCTTCTGAAAGAAGCGTCTCCCATAGTTAATCGCAGTTTAACTGTTATAATAAATCTCTCTATTACCACTGGAATATTTCCAAATGCTTGGAAACGAGCTAGTTTCGCCAATATTTAAAGAGGACCTCGAGACGGATCCTAACAACTACAGACCTATCTCAGTTCTGCCTGTAGTAAGTATATATGAATATCTAAATAATCAAAATGTGGCTTCAGACCTATGTTTTCTACTGAAACAGCTTTACTTGAGGCAACGAGTTAATGGCTATGGAACATTGACAACAATCTCTTAAATGGTGTGATATTCCTGGACTTGAAAAAAGTCTTTGACACCATAGATCATGCTATCCTACTGGGAAAGCTTAAACTCTATAGGGGTCAGTTCTCAGCCTCTTAACTGGTTCCGGTCTTATCTATCTGACCGAAAGCAACAAACGCTTAATGATGGAGTCAATCTGATTTCTGTAATATAACATGTGGTATTCCACAGGGGGTCTATTTTAGGCCCTCTCTTATTTTTACTATTTATATTAATGATTTCCCTTCATGTAATTTGTTTTCAAAACCCAGAATGTATGCAGATGAGACTACCCTTCTGTCATCTGCAGAAGACCCATGTTTCCTTGAACATAAAATGAATTATGATATGAATTTAATTCAGTCATGGTTGTCAGCAACCAGATTAACTTTGAATGTTAAGAAGACTAAATACATGCTTATAGGGAGTCAATTTAAGTTATCCGAAATAAATAGTGACTTCACAGTCAAAGTCAATAATACACCCTTAGAAAGAAAAATTGAACATAAATCCCTTGGAGTTCAAATTGATGAATCTTTGAACTGGTGCCCACACATTAATACCATTTCAAAGAAAATATCCGCCGGTCTTGTTATCTTAAAGCGTGTAAGTCATTTTATACCATTTGATACTAGAGTGAATATGTACAATGCACTGGTAATGCCATATTTTAATTACTGTAGTGCTGTATGGGGTATTATCAATAAGGGACTAGCAGACTGACTTCAACAGATGCAATAGAAGGGCTGCTAGAATTCTCACCTTTTCTAACTATGAGGTTCGCTCAAGTGTTTTGTTGCATGAGCTTGGCTCGGAAAGGCTAGAATGTGTAAGATTTAAACAGTTGGCTGTGACAATGTATAAAATCCGTAATAATCTTTCCCCGTCCTATCTGAGGCGGATCTTTACCAACACCTCAAATGTACTCTTACACATCCAATCTTAGAAATTCTGAGTTAAATTATTATGTCCCCAGACCCAGAACTGAGTCTGCAAAAGGGAGCCTACACTACAGAGGATCTGTTCTGTGGAACAGAATTCCCTCAGAGATTAGTAACCAGCCCACTTTAAATGTTTTTAAAATTCCATTTCATAGAAAAGATTGTCTTTTAAAAAATACACCATGACTCATAGTAACTCTTATTATTAATAATATAAGATTTGTATTTTTAACTTTATAGACAAGTAGTTCCTTAGAGTATTTTAGTCTAATTTTACACACGATTCCTAGGAAGACCATGTAAAATGATACGATTTCGTGTATAAATAAAGATTGATGATGATGACGATGAATTCACGCTCGTTATACTCTGCACTAATATACTTTCATGAAAGCTATTAAAATACACCTTTGATCTTCTTAACAAGATGAGGTATATTTTATTAATGGTGGCACTGCTGGAGGCGTGTGACGTCATCAACAATGGTCGCCATCTTGGATTTTACCAGAAATGGTAAGTGCTTGACATGAATAATAACACATAAATAAGAACTTTGCATTATTTCAGCCACAAGATTTACTTTTATTGTTGAAAAAAGTTGAAAAAAAACCACATTTTCACTTAAAATGGCTTGACCACTTGCTACTTATTACGTCATACCTCGTAACCATAGAAACTGATCATCACTGAACTTGTCTCAAAATGCGTGCGACGGATAAACGAACAGTTACTGAAAACGTCAGGTGCTGATGTTTTATCCTCTTGGAAAAATCCCAGAAAAACCTGAAGGGGGTGGCATCCACCCCTCCCCCCCACCCCTTGTACGTCCGAGGGTTAAAGTGTTATTTCTCTGAGAGAGGAAAATTATGGCAAAGGACATGCTGGAGTCCATTAATCAATTAATTACTTTTTACTGTGCCCTGCAGTCGACAGGGAAATCAAGTTCGCATTTAGAATAAAAGCTTTGGTAATTTTATCAGTACTCATGATATTCATTTGGCAAACAATGGTGAAATAAACGATCATGTTGCAGAAACAAACAAGAGTTAATGAAGTTTAAGTGCAATCAAATGATGCATTCTTACAAGTTTTACTCTTTCCTTAGGGATCAAAGTCTTGAAACTGGGTGAAATACATAAAAAATCTTAATAATTAACAAGCGCTTTTACTTATTAAATGAGATTTTCTGACAACCGACAAAAATCAAAAAGTTTAACCGACTACCGACAAAGATCAAAAATTTTAACTAACTACCGACAAAGAAACTGAATTTTAACCGACAACCGACAAGTGGACCCCCCTATTCAGACCCTCATTTTTGCGAGGGATTTCAAAGCGCGCGGATGTCTGCACATGTACAGATCGAAGAACTTTCCTCATTTACATGTAAGATTAATTTCCATTGTTATTTTATCTGTATGCTGGAGTTCTCGTGATGTTCTTCTACACTGACTTGAGACGAATCGAGTGAATCTAACAGCAGTAATTTGTATTTTCATTCACAGATTTAAGTTTCGGCGCCCTGTAGTGTGTGTTCAGCGTTTTCGGAGGCAAGACTTCTTAGACTTCTTATTATAGTTGTGTTAATGCTTTTTTTCGGTTATCCGTGTTAGTCTAGTGCGTGATGACCTTTTACTGAGCCAACAAATTTTAAAAAACTGACAGCAGTATTTTTGTTTACAGTTAGGCCGTGTAGGCACCCACCGGATCGAGTAGGTGTTTCCTCACACACAAGGTAAGAATCAAGAAAAATTCGTACTTATTTTAATGCAAGTTATTTCGCTAAAAAGACGGTTTGTTTCTCTCGACAACTCCAGCAAAGCCTCTGTTTAAAATACACGATTATCTGACCTCAACCTTTTATTTTCTCCGATATGCTTACAGGGCCGTAGTATGGGGAGGCGCCGTGGGGACTTGCCGACCCTGTGGTTTTTTGCCCCAAAGAGCCAAAACATGCACGGATGTTCATATTAATCTCTCAGAGCATTGAGACAATGATGCCTCTGCAGCTGGGTGAAACATTTTTGGGTTTGAAGATACAGATACAGGGGCACCCAACGAATCTGTTCCTCACTTTATCTGTTCCCCATAGAAATCTTGCTGGCTGGCAAAACATTAGGTGTTCCAATGAGCTGGCTGGGAAATTTCTTATTGTTAGAGGCTTTGGCTGGGAATTACTGGCTTTTCTAGCATTTCAAGCCGAGCTGGCTGAGAAACTCTGAAGACCGAGGACGACTGAAAAAAGAGTATCCCTTCCCTCCCCCCGAGAGTAGTGACAAACATTTGACGGCTGGCCAGAGAGATCGCGTTTGCAGAAAAAACCGGTTTTGTGTCGGTTATTTTTGAGGGTCTGAATGGGGTTAACCGACTAGCGACAAAGGGCGAGAAATATTACTGACTACCGACAAAACGAGTCAAATATTACCGACTACCGACAGGAAAAATATTAACCAACTACCGACATGAGCTGACATTATCAGTATTTGTTTTCAGAAAAAAGAGCATTTTACTTTTTTTTCTGGCCGTTAGGAAGTAACCTCTTTAAATTTATGACTAATCAGATGGTCTAACAGAAAGAGCTTCCTCTTTTGTCGATACAGGTAGATTACTACAACCAATACCATAATTACAGAAGCCACACCTTAAAGATGCTACCAACTTTATAAATTTTATTGAAAAGACAAAGGTGAAAAAACTGAACGTTTCTTGTTTCGGTCCGAGAAATGCTTAGATTAATCGTCAAAGAAAATTCTTTCCAGTTTAATGGAAAGCACTATCAGTAAAAACCCACGATACCGCGGTGAGCACACACAGCTTCCTTTCCAAATTTCCATGGCGGTATACATTGAAACAAAAAGTTTAAGCAAAACCGTCTTCAAACCAACTGTTTGAAAACGCTACATAAATGACATTTTTTCCCTGTGGGAAAAAAATAAACCAGACATCGTAGATTTCTTCAAATTCACGGAACGAGTAAAGTTACATATCACCCTACAAAGAAATTCACGGCCAAAATATCTGACACTGAGACAATCTTTTTAGACACGGTTGTATACCAAGGCACAACATTCAACGAAAAATGAGAAAAAGCTATCATTGACGCAAAGACACATTTTAAACGGAAACCTTCCAGTATATACATTTTCACCTCTTATCACCCACCAATTGTTAAAATGGATTTGACAAACAAGAAGCCTTGAGAATCC